CATCTGGAAGGGTTTTTTCTATGTACAACACTTTTTACAAATAATGTAACAGGCAGGCAAAGTTTAAATGTTTTCTACTGATGGATCATCTGGCCATTGGGATAGATTGAACTAATGGGAATTCCAGTAGCCTGAGCCCTGTATGCCGGAGAGAAAGACAGCACTAGGTAAAGTGAAGGAGCGTATTGTGTGCGTGCATATACCCCTCCTTTCACACATACATCCAGTTCTGGCATATTAATACTAGACAGGAGGGAAAAATTCTAGACAAGGAACTGTTCATCCCATTGTCTCTGTGGCTGTGGAGGTAGTTGTGATGAATGGTGCCAGAAAATATTTTGAGTTTTCTGGAAGCATTTTGGCCCTACGTTTTTTTAATTGAATCTTTAGCACTTTATTAAGAGGGACAATGTTTTCCCAGAGTGAACTGGAAAAAGAATGTCTCTAAGTGGAAAAACTAAGTACAGTTTCCACGATTTATGCCATTTACTCTGCAAACATAATATTCAGAGCAGAAATTTGGCAGGTGTTAATCAGTATATTTTTCTTTGCACCAGTAGAGTGGCTTCAGCTTATACCAGCTGAGAATCTGGCTCTGTATATTAAATACAAAAGTGAGTCTGGATTCCTGATCTTTTGTAGTAGACACACAAAACTGTTCGTTATTGAGCTGTGGGCTTGAAAAGTAATCTCACTTTTCAGTATTGGCAGCAGGCTGGAGAAATGGGGACATGGTGTGCTGAGCTCCTGGGTAGAAGAAATGTTTTCTTTCAAACCATAACAACCTTTTTAGCTATCTGAAGGAATATGTTCAAACTTCCTTGGCAAGCAAAGGTGGGACACTAGCCAGTTACTACATGAAGGCTTTGAAGATGGAAGGGAATAATAAAAGGAGGGAAAAAATTAAAGAGGAAAATCTTTTTGTTCCCAGATGGGTAGCTAGGTGTAACCATTCTTCCTCTGCTTTGGAATCAGACCACAACTTGGCCTAATACATCAAAATCAATAATTTTTCTTTTGACAGTTCCTTGCCTCAGATGTTGTGTCTGGTTTTTACAGGACTGCAAGGTTTTAAAACAGGTCCAGTTAGTTTCTGAGAGTGCCTTCAGGTGGTATTTCTAATCTGTAAATAGTTCTGGACCAAGTTCTTTCAAAAATGGTGCCCACTGTAGTAGATAAATCAACTGAAACCCTGCATGATATTCCTGACTTAATGTGGAAAAGAGATAGGACATAATTTTGGGGAAGAAATAGGAGATTCCTGGGGGAAAACAGGAACATTGTTTTGGTAGAAATGATGCAGATGCACATGTGTATTAGTAATAGAAACTGTCATTTGCAAAAATTGCTGTCAAAAAAAAAATAGTGAAAGCTTAGGTGGAAGCTGGAGGGAAATTGGGGAGCTATGGAAGTACATGCACACTATTTATTTTTTCTGATTCTTAAACAAGCTTCATTTAATCAAGATGATTACTCAGGATATGCTCAAAGGAGTGAAACATGAAAAAAAGATTCTCATAATGTGAAGCTCCTGTGAGTTCTTAAGGTCACAAAAAATGAGCTTTATATAACAAATTTGGGGGGAAAGGATGTGAAACTGGATGGGTTTGGTTTGAATGTCAAAGTCTGGTGTCCACTGGCTGTGCTTAGATGTTGCAATTGCTTGTTTTGGAAGGAATATGCTTTTGCGTATACAGAGCACACTATTTTAAAGATTAGATCTCTCTTTAACAAGTAATATTTTGTTACCCCAGAGTTTTATTATATCAGACTGATCTTTAAATGAAGTTTTCTGTTATTAGAGTTTGAGCTAAACTCATAAATAGCTCTGTTATGTCCAGTGACCTCATTCTTATCAGGTTTTACAGGTCAGTGGTGAATTAAGCAGCCAGCTTCCTGCTAATTAATCCTATTTAGTTAAAGAACTGTTAGACTGAATTATCTTATCTCTGTTAAAAGGAAGTTAAAAGGATTGGCACCAGATTACTCTTATGAATGACAACCCTTTGCAACTTTGACATACAGTACATGAGCAGAAAGGTAGAAGAGCAAAAAAAGAGGTCAGCACGCAAATGCCATCTTGTTCTTCAGTGTTTCCCCATGACATGAATGATCAGAGGTATTACAGCACCCAGATGGTTTTGAAATTATATATCCCCCAAATCTTCCTGTCCTGCAAGGCATTGTGTTTTGGTATGCCAGAGTCCAGGTGTCTTGTCAGAAACCCAAGTCCCCAGTTGATGTGACTGCAGAGGGGAGAGGTAGACAAAGCCAATGGTGTATTTGTGTACATGGTCCTTTATTTACTTCATCACAGCAGAGGCCTGCAGAGCTGAAACACACTGTGTGGTAGGAAGTCTCTATCAAAATGGCTGATACTCAGGTTGCACAACTTGCTATATTTGTGAGGCCCCAGAGAGACCTTTCCTATGTCAAGTTTTGAAATCAATGGATTATGTTAAATGAAATGGAAAGTGAGCCCTTGTGGAAAATACATGAGGGCATTCAATAAGTATAAACTAGGTAGCAGAAATGTATTTGGTGGTTCTAGTCCATGTTGGATGAGCTATACATGCACCAATAGGTTTATAGGTGCTTTTCTTTTATTATTTTTCCCTTTTATTTTGCCTTTAACTGCTCACCATCATTATGCCTTTCATTGCTTTATTGTTTGGTCTGGATGAAGTGGACAAAGTCTGTGACAGGCAGTTCACCCTGGCAACAGGCATATCCTGGGAGCAGGGCAGAGAGGCTGAGAAAGAACGAGGTGTTTGTAAATGACCTTATTTTTATTGATCTTTATGTATCACATGGAATTTGCGGAACTATGTCTATGAAAAATACACAATTAATAGGACAGCTGTTGGCACGGAGGAACAAGATTAGCTGTTCTAGGGACTGTTGAACAATGAATGTATTTTTGCCTGAGCTGCTTGAAATAACCAACACATGTGGATGCTATGTCACCCATCCAGTGTGCTTTTCTGGCTAGAACTGCCAGTGCCCTGACACTGGCAGTGTCTGGACACCTCAGCTACAGTACCTGGCTTTGAAAAAAGGTTGGGCAGATGTCACTTCCAGGATGCTGGCTGGAACAGGTAGGGGCAGTAAAGATGTGTGTTCACTCTGCTCAGGGTGAGGAGGAACACAGCTGGGGGAGGCCCATAAAAACTAAATAATTAGAAGTCAAATCATCTACGCAAAAAGATTATGAAATCCTGCGTCCTCTCCTAAGGGCACTGACGTACTTTTTTCTGTCGGATACTAACAACAAACCCAATCACTTATGGTTTTTCCCTCCTCTTAGAATCATAATAGCAAATCCTTGGTGGATATTTCAGGTGTAATTGCCAGATGTTTAGTGGTGACTGCTGCATTTATGTTATTCAAGGCAAGGAGGAAGTTTAGTTTTAACACTCTGGACATCTCAGAAACCAAAAGAAGACGTACGTTAGCTAGCAAGTGGAAAAGAAGGGGCAATTATTAAGTAAAAAGGACTAATTTAGGACATCAGCTCCACTAAAAACTGTTTTTAACAGCTAAACATTCCTCATTTCCCCTCTAAAGGATCACTGCCTGCTAAAGAGTTACCATGGACTCCAAGCGCATCAGGCCCAGGCCTTAGGTAGGTATAATTAAAAACAAAAGGTAATGAAGAGCTCTTTACCTGGGTTGGCAGAAGGCTGACCATAACGTAGCAACTCTTTTAATGTTAAGAAAAGCTACTGATATCTGGATGCAAAATGACACATTAAATTACACATGTTTTATGATGAATTGTTAATGTATTTAAAGTGTCCAAATCTAGTTTAAAGAACCTCTTTTCAATAGCACAAGAGATATGTGAAGTAAACCTCCTGCACTAAATTTACATTGAAAGACTGCAGAAAGTTCCATTTCTTTATGTAGGAATTAAAACACATACACCAGAAAAAGAGGTGAGGAATAAGAGGGTCTTGGGATATATGAACAGCTTTGGCTACTGGGTGACTGTTCTTTGTCTGGCCTGTGTCTAAGGGTTGCAAACGTTTTCCTCATTAGTGGGTACAGAAGGTTTATGAACTGCACTTAAATGTAGGGCATTTGCTCAGCAATAAAAAGGAAGAATCAAAAAATGCTTACATTCAAAAAATGCATTTTTGCAAAAATAAATAAACCATCAGGAAATCTGATTTTTGAAATTTCATCAGCATCTTTTCTATGTGGCTGGAGTCACTCATTTCTGCCTTTGAGGACCACGCGTGTGCTATGCTGCATTATATGATACAGCCTAACATGTGCATAATACAATTAATTTGAGCTAAGCTGAGCTAAGTATACCCAAGTACACTACTGGCTTTCATCACGTGCAGTTAAAGCACTGACCTATTCAGTTCTAAAATGAGTGTCTGGGTGTTTTTTCATGCTTCTATATCCTAAGCTGATCTGTGAAAAGCAAAGGAGTCAGATCTGTACTGTGTGTCTCCCTACAACAGGGACTTACTGAACAGCCTATTCTGGAACTCAAGTACTTCCAAATGACACATAAACCTCTAAGCCTTAAACCAACAGACTGCACAGCTACTGGCATGGTTATTTTTAATTCTCTTCCTCATTTTGCACACCAGCAATAATCTCATGCCTGGCAAATTGGGATGATCTGGCTTAAAAGTTCAGCTGCAGCCATGTTAAAAAGACCAGAGGAAATGGATAGCTCATCTCTGGAAAATGCAGCCCTTTGGAATAATGCCAGAACTCCTTAAAAACAAATCAGCTCAGGATTACAGTTTATTAGAGGGAAAATGGGGAAATCATTTTCTGGCTATTTTTTGACCCACTACTTCCATACTGTCATTAGCAGACAGCAATTTTGTTCATCTCTAGTTTTGTGCATTCAGCAGGTGTGTTTTTTTAAAGGGCATGTGATAATTCTGCTCTTTTAGTACATGAGCACATAAACAATCGGAGCCAACTACCACAAGTAGTGTAGTTGCTGGAAGTGCTGCGGGAAGCCTCCTGGCACTTCCTTCCCAGTCCCCAGCACATCGCCCATGGAAGAGAAAACATAGGAGGAGGCAGACAGAGATGAAAGCTGGTGGAGCAGTTGCAGCTCCCATCAAAGCAGTAATGGCCTTGGGATTGTCCTCAGTTAGGTCTGGGTTTCCTCTGTTCCTGGTGACCGCCTCTTCGATCAGCCCACTCTCCTGAGCCTCAGGGTTTTTTCCTCTGTCTGTCTGCTTACCTGCCCTGCTGCCTTGCTTTGGGCTTCCTGTTTGACTTGCCATGAGATCAATAGCAATGCAATGTGGGATGCCTACGCCCCTGCCTCTTCACAGGGCTGGCACAGCATTACATAGGGCTTGTTGGGTGCACATCCAGGGCAACTGTGTCAGTGAGACTGCAATTTAGGTGAGGAAGGCAATGAGTTATGAAAAGTGATTAATAGGAACAGCAAGTCACTTTGCCTGAAGGGGATCAGCTGCTTTTAAGATGTTATGAGTTTACCTACAAAGATGATGTAATCTAAGACAGATGCTGGAAGGACACATGTAATACCAACATTTATTGGGCATCTGCTGCTTAACAGCAATTAGGGTGCAAATGTTCAAAGCAACAAAGTACTGTAAATTATGCAGCAGGCACTCAACGTCACAGAAAGACCAAAATGTATTACCTGTCTCAAGTGGGCACACAGTGTGATGTAATCGGAAAAAAAGGGACAATGTACCTCTCCTTCCTTGCCGTGAAACACCATGTTGGATGGCTTTCGAAGCAATATTTAGGGCAGGAACTTCTTTTTCATATGAAGTTGCCTCATCAGTGGGCTGCCCAGAGACACAAGGCTCCTACCAAAACAGTATACTGGGATTGTTGGGAAGAGACTGATGGGGAATCACCCCTCTTGCATTGGAATCAACCCTCTTCTGAGCACCACCTCAAGAAATAATCCAGGGTTGTTTGTGGGACCCTCTGTGTAAAAGCACAGATTGCCTCTTCATAAAATTCCATGTATCTAGAGCCAAAATCCTTCCCCTATTATTCTAGTAGGGATAATAGCAACATTTGGCATGTGGAATAGAAATCTTTCTCTGAAGCTCTGTGCTAGCACAACAGGTCTCCAGGGCAAAGCAATATTTGGAATGCAATGGCAAGCGAAACAAATGTTATGCTGATAAATAAGAACCTCTGGGGGTTAATTATGCAAATTTCCTCAGCGAAGAAACAAGAAATAGACTAATAATATTAGCATGCCATTCACTGTGTTTTCATTTACCAGGTCACATCACAGCTGTTTTAGATGCACAGTGGTACAACAACAAGAAATCCCTTAATGTCAGGGAAAGACTTGAGAAGGAGTCTGGGCTGCAAAGTAGCTGAAGCTGTTGCTTGGGATAAGATTAGGTGTGGATATGAGTAGGAGGAAAGTTCAGGGCTCTATTTCAAAAGGACAACATTTTACAAACTGTTCTCAGCATTTTGGCTCAGATAAGCTGTTTTAGAAGATGACAAGGAACATTTAAACATCAGAGACGGAAAGAAAGGTTCCATTCCCAGTTCAGCTCCTTTCTACAATCCCAATGGTGCGTTGAGGTTACATGCTGTGATGCCTCCTCCTTATTCCTTAGCAGAGCCCACTTGAAAGTTTGCATGCCCAAGGAGCCTGTCCAGAAACAAGTCAGACCTAAATGGACCTTATGGAGTGCTGTGGCTAAGAGAGTTTTTGCACTTGGACTTCTAGACTCTGCCCTTTTGGCCTTGTGAGGGCTTCACAGTAAAAAAGGAACAGAAATGTGACAGTTGCCCTTATTTCAGTGTTAATGTTATTCATGCCTTACTATTTTTATCTATCCACAAAGCCAGCTTACGGATCAGAGCTCAGCTGGGCTACTGCTGAGCTCAGCAGGACTGAGGAGCTGAAGCCGCTGCTCTGAAGAAGAGCCTGCTTCTGCCTCTTGAGCAGCGGGGCAGCAGCTGAGCTACAAACTCAGCAGGAGCTGGGAGCTGAAGCTGGTCTGGTCCTTTCCCAGTCAGGAAAAGGCTCCCAGCTCCTAGGTCTTGCTGATTTCTGAGATCTTCAAAGTCCATGCCTCAGTGGCATAGTGCAGTGAAGATTGCTGTGCTCTGGTAACTGCTCCTCAGGAAAGCAACAACTCTCCTGCCTGCACAGCAGGAGTTTGTATCCTGCTCTGAGCTAAAACGGGGTTGCAGCTGGTGCCGTGCAGTTGCCCATCCCTCCCAGCAGTAAATAGTGCTGGTGATGCTGTGGTGATGCTCAGGAAGGGCTGGAGCCTCAGGGTTCCTGGCTTGCGTTGCACAAAGACTGGTGGTAACTTGCAGCTGTGAGAGGCAGCTCATTCCATTTGGGATCCTGCAGGGTCTCAGCAAGAGAACTGGCAGCACAGATTGGAGTCTTCTCCTCATCAGAGGTGGCTCTTTACCCCCCTGGTGATGTGGAGGCAGGGCTTACTGCCACATAACAACCTGCATAAGGTACTGATCTGTATAATTTTCACATTTCTGGAGGAAAAAGCTTGCACGGGAAAAAACACCTTTTTTTTTTTTTTGCCCCTATGACTTATTCCCCTTTCTAATTTGGGGAAAAAAAGTATTGTTTGGGGTTTTTTGTTTGTTTTTGTTTTGTTGTTTTTTTTTTCAAAATACCCTGCTTTTGCTGTGGAATGTACTTGATAAATTGCCTAGTTCACTTTTTTCAATACTCTGACTAAAGTACTATTTTGCTCTTTGAAGCTAGCATACCCAAGCAATGTATGATGTGGAGGAACAGGGTTTCCCATGAATGAAAAGTAGATCTATGAAAGAAAAAAGGAATGTTGCAGGTGGGTGCTTTGGCAAAGCACACCACTGTATTCTTGTTTGTGACAACAGCATGATTCCAAACCGGGTTCTTGCTCCAGCTGCCATTGTTGGCATGTAGAGAGCTGGAATCATCTGTGATGGGGAAAGAAGAAGGGATTAATTTTTTTTTTTAAATGAAGGGACAACATCGCATTTTTTTGGGTAACAGTTTTGATTCTTTGCCTTTAAGTGAAAGACCCATCCATACAACTCTAGATAACAAAAATCTGCCGTAGTATGGGTAATGGTTATGTATTTGCTTTAAACAAACACATTTTGCCTCCCTGGGAACAGTTAGAGATAGATAACCTTCTTTAACAGCAGCCTGCCATCTTCAGTAGTCTTGGGTGAGATGCAAAGCTGTGTGAGATGCCAGCTAAGGAATTCTTATTCTGCCTCTACACAAATGTTTGTCAGTATTACTTCACCAGGTAGTTTTAAACAGGAGGAGCACCAAATCTGTATATCTCATTTTTTTTTTAGTTGCTAAAAATTGCACCCTGGAAATATACATGTGATTTCAGTGTACAGCAAATTCAACACAAACCTATTCTGTGTAAATATGCCCTTTGACTTGACTAGGAACATAATGCACATTTTTAACAGTGAGATTAACTGGATAATGAAACACATTTTCAATGGTAAACCACTTAATTTCAAGCATTTATAGGCTTTAATCAAGACTGAAAGATGCCCTGACTCCATCAGGAGTCATAGTCCTGATAGTGAAAGTACTTGGTAAAACTAAATTATGGCTTTGACACTGTAAAAACAATTCTTTTTGAATGAACAGTAAACTGATTTCTGTTAGTTCACATTGTGTATTTTCACTCTGCAGTTTGCTGTTCCAAAAGCAGGACAGCTTGTTTAAATCTGAAGTTATGAGTTTCTCCATCTCTTCTGAATAAAAGGCAGAATGCTGAAATCCACTGGAGTATTCCCATGTGAGCTTAATTCATTGTAAGGTAAACAAAACATGAGAAGTAAAATCAGCATAAAATCCGATGAGTCACAAGAAACTAGGATTTCATGAATGCGTGAGACATGAAATATTGGTGGGATGTCTTTCTTATGGGGATAGGAAGACAGAAGCTCCAAAGTCTCCTATATAACAATGAAAAATGTGGCCTTTTTAACAAAAAAAAAAAGAAAGAAAAAAATCTTATTCTTGGCTGCCATATGACTATGAATACCTAGATCTTGTATAGTTCATTTTTATCACACTTAGATCCCAAAGGTCAATATGGGCAAAATCACAACAGTATCTGAGTGTAAAACATAACTGAAACTAAGAGCATGACTATTTTTATGCAGGTAAACTAGAGAAAAAGGGTTTGCCAGGAGCACACCATCTTACGTTTTCCAGCGTAAGTGGAATGGCTGCTGGCCTGGCATGGAGAAGGTGAGAGGCTTGCCATCTCCTGTGTCTGACTACAGCTCCAGCTCTGAAAAATCCTACTCAGGAGCAGATGTTGATGATTTTGTGTAATGTACTGTTATGTACTGGTGTATTTAGGCTATGAACTACCTAGATGAGGCAGGAACAGGTCCTTTGATAGATGAACCTTTTGGTGCCCTGATCTCTTGACTTGGCCAGTGGTTGTTGCAGCAATGTACATGCCGAATACTACTATTTCATTTAACATACACGTTCTCAGCAGAATTGCAGAAAAGCTACTGGCAAGCTCATCAGAAAATTCTGATAATTTGGCCTTCTTCAAACTTCACCTTTTCAAAACATCACAGTATTTAGACCAAACATTGACATTTTTCCCAGGATGAGTAAAACATCTTTCCAGTAAAATCTGGCAGAAGTAAAATAAAACTAAGAAAACAGTAGTACTTTGAAAGCACAACGATTTATTTTATTTATCTTTGAAATACCATTTTCTAGTAAATCTGATTTTTATTTTATTCAAAGGACCTTAGTATTGACTACTCCAGCAGCCAATGTTAATTCCAGTAATAATTCCTAATATTGATTATTCTATCACAAAATGTCAAACACAGAAATAAATTTTGGAAATAAACCAGTGTAAACTATAGAATATCAAGGTATCAGAAGACTACTTTGCATGCATGCAAAAGAAAGACAAGGCCCTTGGAAAAAAAAAAATCAGATTTGAGTACTTTAGTGAGGAGAAAAAAAAATAAAGAAACCCAAACCAAAACCAATAAACAAAACTAGCCTTTGAGTTCTACTTCCACACCCATGCTCAAACTTTGCCCAGACTAGTTCTGAGGAAATATATGAATCAAAAAAAGTTTGGAAAGGATTACAAGTGTGTCATGGTATAGACAAGGTCTTACAGTTAATTTTGAAGGTACTTTGTTCTGTGCTATTGTCAATAACAATTTTGGTATTCAAAGTAATTTCTAGCAAACTTCCATTTATTGTGGGCTGTTTTCATTAAGCTAATTTTTGGAATGTGTATGTGTGCTGCAAGGTTCACCCTGGGCTGGGCTCTGTAAGGATCTGATAACTTTGAGGTAATTCCCAGCATTTCCCATCCAAGTCAAGTTCTCTGCACTTTTGTCCTGTTGACTGATGCCTATTTGAGATCTCTCCACTTTCTGCTTCCCCAGCAACCGGTAGAGAAGAGGCATCCAACTGTACTCCGTGTGGAGCGGGACGGAGCCAGCAGCTGCCCAGAGCACCTGCCAGCAGCTGCACATGAGGTGATGAGGAGGGAGGGAAAGGGTACAACAGCCGGTACTCTCCACAAAGTTGTATCTGGAGCTGAGTTGATACATTTTTATACTGTCTGGGTGGAGAACAGCTATGAATATTCTCTCATATAGCTGCTGTTTCCAGCAAGATAATTGTGTTGCAACACAGTGAATAACATAAAGAAGTTTTCCGGTGATTGCTGCCCAGCAATGTCTTTCCATCTCTAGCAAGTAGAGAACAAAAAATTAGGTCAAGATCTCATTTTTAGTGTTTCAGTTGCTGTTGGCCTCCGTATAAGATAGACCACGCCAGCCATGCTAAGACACTATTGAGCAGAGACAGAGAGAGCAGCTGTGCCAGGCCTGGGTGGGAAGCTGCAGGGCTGCCATATCCCTGCAACTGCCAGTGCTCCCACTGCAGCCAGGGCTGCCGAGGGGCCCCAGAGCTCCCCTTCCACAGCCTATTCATCCACACTTGATACACTGCGTATCCAGCCACCTGGAAATTGTGGTCCTCGATGTCCATCTTGCTACAGACTATTGCTTTTTTACTAAATTGAACATCTGCATGCATATTTAACATTGTCAAGAGACAATGACCCGCCATTTGTCTCCACTGTTAATCACTGTCCTTAATAGAAGGATTAGAAATAAATAAAAGAAAGGAGGAATTATGTTAATACTAAACTTTTCATGACACAATTATGATATTTTTTTTCCAAACTTCTGACGGTGTATTTTGGACTTCCTAGACTTCCTTGTTTCTGCCAAGTCAATACAAGACAGAAAGCTGCTGCTTTTAATACCTACTGATGATACCAATATTGATGTTTGTTATGTTTTTAACAAAACCAAACACCTCTGGGTGAGTCAACACTAGTTTTTGGACTGAAATAGTGTTGCTGCTCAGAAGTGAATCCCCTGACTGTCTGTAGGTAACACATGTTGGCTGTGTTGGCAGAGCAGCTGTGTCACATGAACTCAATTCCTCTTGGAAAAAACTAAACTGGAAGTTTTGCTCCTGCTGCGCAGCAAATGGGCAACAATTCCTAGAATAGGGACAGCTGAAGAGTCACAGCTTCTCACTCTTTTTTTGTCCAAAGAGAACATATTCCTGTTTTAGGCACCACGTCTTGGGCAGGAGGGAGACGGAATGATGTTACAGTCACAGTACGTGTGGTTCAGTCAATAAAATACTTAAATTCTTAAATTCAGCAGAACTCACCTGGAGAATGCGCTCTCTGCTATGTGGCCAAGCTGAATTAACATCTCACACTGAGGACTTTATTAGCAAATATACACAAATGCATACAAAAGAAACACATGTATTGCTATGAGATTTCATTTGTTCTAGAGCAGGACTGAGAGTACGGGTGAGATGAAGGGACTAAGTGAAAAATATTGTGCAGACATACAGAAAGACATGATTCACATTGCATATCTTGGGTTTCTACTAATTGCTTGGGCAGTACAAACAACCTGTGTGAGTAACAGAATCAAAATTCTGTTAAAGAATTACTGCTCACATTGACAATTTTAACCCCCCCACCTTTTCCTTCCAAAAGTAAGTTTGTCATTAAAGGGACAGAGCATGTTCATGAGCTGAATGTATTCTTTTATTAGCAGCAGCATTACCACTCATAATTAGAATAATTGTAATTGATGTAAATCATGCAAATATTTCTGAATTTCTTGTAAGGTAATACAACCTAATTCAATTTCTTGCTAAAATTCTTAATGATGTCTACTGATTTAAAGTGACTTGGGCTTTCATATTTGAGTATATATTTCCCTTATATTTCCCTTATATTTAGACAGTTATTAAAAAAAAAAAACACAACACACCCTTTACCTAGAGTCCATTAATTAGGGGAAGAGAAGCAAAAAAAGTTGCACAACAATGCAATTAACAATTAACAATGTTAATCTATACAAAGAGCACAATGATTAATATCCCACATACCTTTCTGAACTGAAAAAGGTAAATGCAGTGATTTTGACTGGAAAGGATTTCTTCTCTCAAGTGAGTAGGAGGTGATTTGCAGGTGCTTACACTGAAAAAGGGAAGGTGAAGTGAGGGCAGGGTTTGGCTGGCCTTGCTCCTTTGGCAAAGCCCAGCAGTGCAAAGGTCTTCCTTCTGAGATATATTCACCTTGTCTTTAGCAAATCTGTATTCCCCAGGATGAACTGCTGCCCATTTCTCTTTTTAAGTGGGCAAGAATTAGCGACTTGAGAGGTTAAAACCCACACTTCATGGGGAAATTAAACAAGGTCTGTATAAAATAACATTAAATCCTACTGACCAGTATAAACTGACTGATACATTTTGTGGTATTTGAAATATTGCTAAAATTTCATTGTAACATGCTGACAAACACAAGCAAAATGAAATGTTCACTACTCCCAACCAGGAAGCAGTCTCGGTTTCCTGGATGCATCCTGGCTTAATATGGGATGAGCCTCCAGGTCTGATCTTTGCCCTTACTCTAGAAATCAGTAATCTGGCTGATTACTGATAGTGATAATTAGCTTATAAATAAGGTCGTAGTTATTCCTTCTGAAAGTTTAAATCGTATGCCCTAGTGAACTGTGGTTCACCTGAGTGATGCCAGTCTGCAAATGGGGTTGTGCTTTAACCTCTCTGAGCTTCCTAACTATGTACTGAGGGCAGTGCATAGATGCCTCAGTGCGGCAGGCAGGCAGCTCCCCCCCTCCCACCCCCCGTGGGAACCCCGTAAGCCCCTGGCGTCAGCTGTGACCTGGCGGGGTCTGGGGAGGCTCGGGCATTTCTCTGCCCTGCAGGGAGATGGGCATTGCTTGGCACCCTCCTCTTTGAATGCACTGTCAGTTGGACCCAAGCAGAGAGTGGAGGCTCTCTGTGCCCAGCAGCAACAGCCAGTGGCCCAGGCTCCCTTGCCAGCAGGTCCCTTAGTCTGAATATTTATTTAAAATAAAGGAATTAGTTTTCAAACCCCATTCAGTGTGCCAGGGGACGCACGACACTCTACTTATGCTGGCAAGCTGCAGTCACTTGTGCACATCCGGATTTTAAAAGCTTCCTGCCCTATTTTTTGTTCCTTTTCTTTCGTTTGGTTTTTTTTTCGTATAATGCATTGTCATAGAGCACTACAGTCAATTTTTTAGTCCCGTGAGTGGCACGGGGAGGGGCCGGCGGTGCTGCGTGACAGGGGCACAGTGTGGAGTCGCCCCTGCTCCCTGCCTGCTCCAGAGTCAGGAGCAGACATGTGCTGCTGAAGTAAGAGGGAATCTGGGCAGTGGATCAAAGCCGAGGCCACCCCCAGAACAAACACCCCCCGCCGCTCCGGCCGCGGCTGCGCCCGCCCCCTCGGGAGCGCCCGGAGCCCGGCAGGGGGCGCTCTTGCCCCGCGGCTGGGCTGGGCCGGGCCGGGCCGGGGGGTCTCCCCCGACGTGGCGGGCGCCGAGCTCGGCGAGACCCCCGCCTCTGCTTTTGGAGGGGGGAGGATAAACCACGCCAGCTCGCCCGGCTCAGGTGTTTCCCCGTGAGGAGCAGGACACACCCCCAATCCCAAGGCAGGAGATTATGGTGGGGGGGCACTAAAATTGAGGGGAGGAGGCAGTAAACCTCGTCGGGGTCTGTTGCCCCCCCACCCACTTCGGCGAGGTGCCTGGTTTAGGAAGCCGTGCGTCACGTCTCTGCGCACCCCCATTTGCTTTCCAGCCGCGCGTCACAAAGCTGCGAGCAATGATGCAACGCTGTCCTGCCCACCCCATCCCTTCCCCCATCCCTGCATCTCTCCGCGCAACCCGCTCTCTACATCGCGGTGCCGGGCCCCGGGGTCCTCGGGTGCTGCTGCGCGCGGGGTGTAGTCTGTGTATGTGTGCGCGCTTAGCCTGTTTAAAATAGTATCTCTATGTTTTAAATAGTATGTTTGTATTTTAAGTAATAACTATATGTATATAGTATCTATACGTATTTCAAGTAGTATCTATATGTATTTGTATTAAAAGGATGAAAAAGAAGCAGGTACATCCATTGTTATTCAAACGAAAACATAACTGAAACAAAATATATGTGTATGTTTATATAATATGCATGTCTTAAACGTTATTTTTCCCGCTCCGCAGTTACCCAAGTATGCTTTATAGGCAGGATGCTCGCCTGGAAGGCACGGGCTCTTTCGTGCTCTTCGGAATTTCTTTTTTCCCTCCGCGCCGGCGAGGAGGGCGGGCGGGCGCGGGGGAGGGGGCCGGGCCGGGGCCGGGCAGGCACGGCGTGGTGTCTCTGAGCTGCTGCAGGCAGCTCTGGAAATCTCGATCAGGAGCTGAGCAGAGCAAACCACACGGCCCGGGATCCTCGGCATCTGTTTGGAGAGGGGCCCTTGCCAAATTCCGTCGCTCTGGTATGAAGTTTGGCTGCGTCTGGGATGCCCGGGAATGTCGCGGGGGAAGCGGGGGGGGGGTGGCAAGAGGTAAAAAGGCGGGGTGGGGGGAAATCGGGAATGGACATTAGCGCGGAGCTGGGTGCCCCTGGGCGCGCATCTGGGCACGGCGGGAGCGGGACGGGCCGCGCCCCCTGCGCAGGCAGGGAGGGGTTTTGCACTTGTTGCCTCCCCGGATCCGTGCCGGGGAAAGCTGCGCTGCGCGGGTTTCCCAGCGCGGGGCGGTGCGGGACGGCGGCGCTGGGCGCTCCGCCGGCGCGGAGAGGCGGGCGGACCGCGGGTGCGCCGGGTGTGGGCGTGCCGAGGGCACCGCCGGGCCGGCCATGCAGATGGAGGGGGCGGGACGAGGGCGCCGTGACTCGGAGCCCCGGAAGCGCGGAGAAACCCCGTATAAAAACTACTGGGGACCTTTCCCGGGCAGGACTACGAGAGCTTCGGAGACGGCGGCAGCCTGCGGCGGCAGAGAGTGGGGCGGCCTTTTGGGCGGCGCGGGGCGGCCTCTCCGTCGGCGCGGGGCGGCCTCTGCCCCGGCGAGGGCGCAAGCAGCGGCTCTGCAGGTCGGGCGCCTTCCTCTATCCTGCAGCACCGCCCGGCTTCGGGGGGCTTTTTCTCCCCCCTCTTCTCCCTCTTTTTTTTTTTTTAGTCTAATCAGTAGGTGTGTCCCCCGCTTCCCCGCTGGAAGGGACGGCCGTTGGGGAGCGGAGCTCGGGAGCCAGGTGCGCGCAGCTGCTGACCGCTGGCTTTTCCTCCTGTTGTGCCAGGCGCGGAGGGAGAGGGGGCCCGGGGGGCCGGCGAGGAGCCGGAGCGGTGCCTGGATCCAGCCCGGGGAGGCGGCGGCCGCACACTATGGCAGACGATGAGAAGGCCGGCGGCAGCCCCGGCGGGAGTTCCGCGGGCGGCGGCGAGAGCGCGCACTGCAACGTGCTGAGCTGGGAGCAAGTGCAGCGGCTGGACCGCATCCTCAGCGAGACCATCCCCATCCACGGCCGCGGCAACTTCCCCACGCTGGCCATGCAGCCCCGCCAGATCGTCAAGGTGGTGCGGAGCCGGCTGGAGGAGAAGGGTATCGGCCTGCGTGACGTGCGGCTGAACGGCTCGGCCGCCAGCCACGTCCTGCACCAGGACAGCGGCTTGGGCTACAAGGACTTGGACCTCATCTTCTGCGCCGACCTCAAAGGGGAAGCCGAATTTCAGACTGTGAAGGACGTGGTCTTGGACTGCCTCTTGGATTTCTTACCCGAGGGGGTGAATAAGGAGAAGATCACGCCACTCACCCTCAAGGTAAACCTGCCCTGTGCTCAGACGCCCGGAGCGGGCAAGTGTGAGCACCTGCCTGCGGGGAGTGGGCATCTTCCCACTGGGAATGGAGGGGTGGACTCAGAGACGCAGCTCTCCCCCACATCCCGCGACCCAGGGGGACCCTGAACGATTTTTTCCACCTCACGCTTAAGATCGAGGAGTTTGCAATGAAGCGCCCTGGCCGGGGCTCTTCAGGATTAATTAGCCTTTCCTCCCTCTCGGTTGATTTGCTGGGAGCGTTGTTTTACCTGGGCCGTGTGTGTGCCGGGGGCTGCACACCTCTCTCCCAGCCTGTCTTGGCGGCAACTTGGTGTGCCGGACCGGTTCCTGGGTGCAAGGGGAGCATAGTTGGATTTTATAGCTGCAAGAACGAAACCCCGCCTGTAAGGCATGCATTCAGGTGCGCTAAGTGCCTAGGGGGGAGGCATATTCCCTCCTCTCGAAGACAGTTTGCTTGAGTTGATTAGACTGAATGACAGATGTCTTTCAGATTTTTAGACGGATTTTTTTTTTTTAATATGGGGCAAATTTGTGGAACCTGCACTGGAAGGATTGAGGGGAGTGAACACTTGCTAAGTTGTTTTTGTGGGGAGGAGAGAGAGAAGTGGAAATAGATAAATAAGATTTCTTATCTGGTTGTAGTAGCGCCCTTTTGTGTGTGGGTGCAGGCATATCTGGCATGTGTGTCATGGGCTTAGTGTGTAGATTTATTTAAAAGTGACTGAAAGAAGCAGTGTTGCTATATGCTTCCCTTGCATGCCACAGTCCCAGCAGAACACCCTTCTCTGTCATTGTCCTGCAGTGGTAGCATTTTGAGCTCTCGCATTAAGCATTTCTTCTCTGGTTTGTATCTGCAGGCTTCATGAAATCTTTTACGAAATGCAAGGATTGGGGGGGCTTTAGGGGTACAAGCAAATGCACCGAAGGGGAGATTTCTTGCATCTGTTTCTTGATTTGCTCATTTTGTCTTTCCAATTATAGGAGGCTTATGTGCAGAAAATGGTAAAAGTATGCAATGATTCAGACCGATGGAGTCTCATCTCCCTGTCCAACAACAGTGGCAAAAATGTGGAGCTGAAATTTGTGGACTCTCTGAGGCGGCAGTTTGAATTCAGTGTCGATTCCTTTCAAATCAAGCTGGACTCCCTACTGCTATTTTATGAGTGCTCAGAGAATCCGATGACTGAAACTTTTCACCCAACTATCATTGGTGAGAGCGTCTATGGGGATTTCCAGGAAGCCTTTGATCACCTCTGCAACAAGATAATTGCCACCAGAAACCCAGAAGAAATCAGAGGAGGTGGTCTTCTGAAGTACTGCAACCTTTTGGTAAGGGGC